GTGAGCTTGTCTGCTACCAGCAGGAGCATCGCCAGACGGACGACACCAAAGTTATAAAGCGGACCGGCGAAGAGGCTACGAGACGCTGCCACTTTGCCGATCGAACTCGTCGTATGACGATCCTTTTCTCGTAAAAAGAATCGAAATATTGATCATTCGGCGACACCTCCCGGTCGGTGTCATCCCTGTTTCCATAAGGGAAATATATCGATACTCGTGTCATGTTACTTTGACAACGCCGCGATCGCGTTGTGCAGGAGAGGAAGAATCAAAGGGGAATCGTATAGGCCGTTTGTGACAATTTCTTTTTCATATTCGACGATAGACATTTTTGATTAATATTTAATCGTAATTGAGATTCGTCGTAATTGGTGTGTGCCGAAGAAGACGAGAAGGAGACACAAGAGTACCGTCATTAGCTTCTCTTAACTCTGATCAGTGTTATACGAGGTAAGAGTTTTCTGTACTAAATTATTATCATTCGGTATTAAAATTAATATCATTAGAAAATAAATTATTACATTGATCGCTGATATAAAAAAAAGTAATAAAAATTTTAATAAAATAAAATATCAAAACTTGATATTTGTAAAAAATAAAAATCGAATATTGTAAGATATTTTATCATATGATAAAATGCAATTAATTATTAATAATATATTGTGTTATATTGCATAATCCAATTCATTAGAGTAATTCGTTAAAGGAAATTGATCATAGAAAATATTACAAGAAAATATTACAAGAATATATCATACTTGACGTATAATATATATATATATTTCTTTTGTAAACGCGAAATCAAATGCAAAGTAAGCATAATTATAAATCAATTTTGAAACAATTGAATAGTTTCATAGTTGATATATGATATAGAAAAAATATTTATATACTTTTTTATAATTTTTGAAAAATAATAATTTATTATTATTAAAAAATTAATTAATAATTATTATTATTAAAAAAAAAGAAAATATAAGGAAAAAATATATTGATTGTGAGATACACGCGGCACGTTTCATTGTTATAAAAAAAAACTGGTTTATAGATGATTTCACTCAGCTTCCAAAGATTACGAATTTATTTATCAAAGACTTTCTCTACAAGAGATCATTCGTTATGAATGCTATAAACCATTTGAATCAGCTATTGTCACTATACGTAGTAGAAATGATTAATATGAATCGCAATTTATTTCTAAAGTAGCATAAAAACGTCAGTTTGTTCCACTGGTTTAATCATGAGGAGAGAAATCTGAGAGAGCCTGAAGAAGTTTACCTACATTTCCAATATTTTGATATAAAAATTTTATTTTATATGTTTTCAATTTGATATAAAAAAAAATATTTCTGAATGGATTGTTAATATTAATTAATGCTAAAAAAATTAACAAATTTTCAAGCGATTGATATTTCTACTTAATATATTACAAAATAAATTATAAATTTCAAAAGATAATCGATATATTAATTAATTCCATATCATTATTGATCAATGATAAAATTTTATAAATGAAATTTTATTAAAAATAAAAATAATAACAATAATATTTAAATTAATATATTTTCCAAAAAGAAAATTAAAAAATTTGAAAATAATCAAGCATTTTTCGACAAGAAATAGTTGGATCAGCATCATAAGATTTCACAGATTGAATCAACGCCTTATAAAATAGTTTAATTAAAACAAAATGAAAGCTAAATAAGCTATAGCGGAGGGAGAACATACACTTGCACTTGTTACAAGTTCACGGCAACGTTAGATCGTAAATGAAAGTAGACATTCCTACTTTGCCATCGGAGCATCGAATCAGTTTGAAATCAAGCTATTTGAAAGATCTAACGAAACGTGTTTTCACGCAGACGGTATTGGGAGATAGCGTTAGATTTATTCGGTATAACGTGAAAGTTACTACATATGACGTTTCTATCTTTAAGTGAACGACCAGATAATGTATATACATAGAAGCTGTTCATAAAGCGTACAATAATGATGGTAAATCGAATGCATGCGCTAATCAATACAGAAAAACTTGTTTCATTTTTATTGCAACAATTCGTTTAATATATTTTCAGTTTTATTAATTTGATGAAAATTGTACTGTAATTCCAAAAAAAAATATTATTATTATAGATAAATGTTTCGTAAATATATTCGTTTATTTTATAGTTAAGTTTAGAACGTTGAAATATTTCATAGGCAATAAAAATTCTAAAAAATTATTATATAAAAATTATAATATATTTAAGATATATATTTAACGTAAAAAAAAATTTTACGTATCTGATATACATGCAAGATTTGTAAAAAAGATTTAAAGATAAACTTGATTTTTATAAATTATTTTTGCATATATCTATTTATAATATAATAACGTTTGGTACAAGTTCAATAATACAACATACAAAATTATATAATACAAATATTTTTGGATTATATATCTTGAATATAATTCAAATAATAAAATTTACAGATTTATAAAATAATAAAATTTTTACAGATTTTTTATTGTCATAAAATCTTGTTAGTTAAATATGATTGTTAATTATAATAACATATAAATCTTTATATATCATTATATATATTGCTTTACAATCGATATTTATTTTAATATATATTATATATTATTTTAATATATTTTTCTTTTCCTAAAAGTATAAATATATTGTAATAAAAATATAAGTGTATAGATACAAAAGAAATTATTTTTTTTAAGTATTTTTTATTAATAATATATAATTTATTTATAAGAAATTACTTCGCGAAATTATCATTTATAATTAACTTAACTTCCGAATATATTTTATTTATAAATATAGAAAAATTATAAAAAATATATATGTTACAAATTTTTATAAAAAGTTTATAATTATTATTTTGTTATAGGCAATGGCAAGCTTAATTAATTCTACAGCAACTTTAATAAACGATGCCTACAATTATTATCTTTGGACGTTATCCCTTGCTGGTAATTTATTTATTATATTAAAAATGAACATAGTTTTTTTATTAATTCATAATAAAAAATTCATTAAGTCCTTTTCTCAAATTATAATATACATATATATAGCAAGAAAATTTTTTTAATATAAACATTCGAAGAATAATACTTAAAAAGTCAATAACTATCAAATTCATTATGTTATAAAGATTTATTCTTAATAAAATAAAAATATACATATATATATATATATATATATATTTATAATTAATGCTAATTTACAGATGAACGAACGAGAGGATGGCTTTTGGTTGATTCCCCGAAACCTACTTTGATATATACAATGTTGTATTTACTCATTGTATGGGCTGGGCCAAAAATCATGAGAAATCGAAAAGCCTTCAAACTAACATGGGCTCTTGTTCCGTATAATCTTGCAATGGCCTGTCTTAATGCGTACATCGCGATACAAGTATATTTTTTTATTATAAAATTATGATTTTTCATATTGATCGATACTTAATATATCAATTTATTATTTGCAGTTATTCGTAGCATCTACTAGACTACGTTATAGTTATGTGTGTCAACCAATTAGACATGTAACTCGTCCAGATGAATTGCAGGTAAAAAATATTAATTGAAATAAATTTTATACATAAAAAAATATATTTATTTTATGTCAGTTTTTTTATTTTTTTTTTATTAGATTGCTCATGCTGTCTGGTGGTACTACTTTAGCAAACTTTTGGAGTTCTGTGATACATTTTTCTTTATTTTACGAAAAAAAGATAATCAATTAAGCTTCCTTCATGTTTACCATCATTCTACCATGTTTTCGTTATGGTGGATTGGTATTAAATGGGTACCAAGCGGATCTAGTAAGTAATAATTTATCTATCAATATATCAAACTCTCTTTAATCATTTGTAAAAAATGTCAAAAAGATAAAAATCAGAAATTAATTACATCTATATAAATAGATTAATTTTTTAAATTTTATTATTTAAAAAAATATATTATTTTTAACTAAAAATAATCTAAAGATTGAAAATAAGAAAAATAATTTATTAATCGTTGTTTATATTCTGATAATT